GATAGATAGATAGATAGATAGATAGATAGATAGATAGATAGATAGATAGATAGATAGATAGATAGATAGATAGATAGATAGATAGATAGATAGATAGATAGATAGATAGATAGATAGATAGATAGATAGATAGATAGATAGATAGATAGATAGATAGATAGATAGATAGATAGATGTTACTGTTTTATAAACATAAAAAATTGTAATACTTGAACCAACGCAATACAGTTAGATTTACAATATGGCTTGTTTTAAAGAACTGAAATACATAATGATAGTATGGTTCTATGTTCGAATCCCTGGGGGAACTGGGACCTGATTGGGCATTCTGAATTGACTTTAGGAGTGAGTGGTTGTGTGGTGGTTCGTCCTTGTGTGTCTCTGTGTTGCCCTAAGATGGACTGGCAGACCGTCTCCCATTACCTACTGGGTTAGACTCCAATCCCAACGCTTACCCAATTAGGGAATAAGCGGTTAGGACGGATGGATGATGGACGGATGGATGGATAACCTGTTGCTTAAATAAGATGAAAAATTCAGACTGTCTTATGATGAGCCTTTTACCATTTAATAATGCTAATTATAATGCAAATTATTCACTGATTTTCAGTAAAATTAAATGATTAAATGAGAAACCTCTGAATGTACATTGTACAGGATAATATGGATTTAAAAAAGTCATGCTAATTCAGCTGAAAAGGGATGTTGAATTTACCAGTTTAGCATGTAATTATTATAATGTTAATATGTAAATATTACAGTCTTACACTGTAAATTTGACAAGTTGCTCTGTAATGTATTTTACACTCTGCTGTACTGTTTACAATATTATTCTGGCAAAACCAGGCTCTTCTTCTTACAATGTATATATTAATCATATATATATATAATTAACTGGGTTAACCAAGTGAGTTATTGTGTTGATTGTCTCTGTGTTCTCTCTGCAGGTCTCTCTGGCTGTTCTGGTCCTTCTCTCTGCGGTACTCCGCGGTGCCACAGCGGAAGATTCCGTGCCCACTTACCAGCGGGTTGACCCGGTTACCGGTCAAACTCTCACTTGTGAAAAATGTCCACCGGGTTATCACATGGACGCTCATTGCACCGTGACCTCCGCCACGAAGTGCTCACCGTGCAGAAGTGGACACTACACTGAGCTGTGGAATTACCTGCCCAGGTGTCTGTACTGCAGCAATTTCTGCTCACACAACCAGGAGGTGGAGAGGGAGTGCTCCCCGATCAACAACTCGGTCTGTAGATGCAAACAGGGCTTCTACTGGGTGGATGACTTCTGCACCAGACACTCCCCGTGCGGGCCCGGGCACGGTGTTCAAACCACAGGTACCTCCGTTTCCTCAGATAAATAGGAACTCAATAGAATATTATAGTGTATTTATGGTGCCAAATATGACAAGTATAGATCCGAAAATGTAAACAGAGCCATGTCAAACATAATATTATGGTGTTATTTTCACAATTTGTAAGACCTTGTAGCACTCGTAGTTTAAGTAACGATCTACAACATGTATTATTTTCTCCAAGGTACGTCGCAAAGTGACACTGTTTGCGAAAAGTGCCCTAAGGGCTACTTTTCGAGCTCGTCCTCTGCCACGGATCCGTGCGTAAAACATCACCAGTGCGCAAACGGGGAGGTTTTGCTCCTGCCTGGTTCAGCATACGAAGACAATGTGTGTGGCTCCAGCGAGGACATTGATGAAGGTGTGTACTTTGTGAATTCGTATGACCAGCACTCATTTAAAACATCTTGGACATTTGAGGATTGTTGTGAACAAAAAATCAAGTTCAGAATTGATTTTAAACTCGCCCTTCGCTCTATAGGTCAGAGACTCAGGGTCGTCCTTTCTGCATTCTTTAACTCTCCGAGGAATCGGGTCAGACAACTGAGGAGATTTGTAAGCAGGTGAGAAGACATTTCTTATATGAAACTGATTTAAGTATTTGGAGTGTTTAGATATCTTGTAATGATACCTTCGTGAGAGTTAAACCGCCATTTTCCTTCAACAGGATCATCCGCAAGACAGGGCACGAGTGTTGCACGACTGTCCCCAAAGAGAGAGGCCCCCTGCTGGACCAGATCAGGGCCTGGCTGTCCCAGGCTCCAGCAGAGCACCTGAGACAACTGCCCAAAAAGCTAAGGGATTCCCACCTCACCTCCATGGCAGACAAAGTGGACGAGATACTCCGTAGAGACTAATTCCAGCTTAGCTAAATAAATAGATAAAATAAAAAAACACAAAAAAACAACAACTCCAGCTTAGCTTTAGCAGAGGACAACATGGAGCCAACATCCAAATTGTATAATTATGAAACAACCCTTACCTATGAAACATATGCATCACTCCAACTTTGTCCGTTTATTTCAGTTCAGCAGGAAAGCTGATATTTTTGTTTTCACTTAATATGACGCTGTGCGTCATCATTCATGGTTAACATGACCATTGTTTCGTTGGTTTCTGTTGCAATCGAATTATAATTTATTTAGCTGGCTAAAAAGTAATGAAGTAGGTGTGGAACTATATTGTATGTTTTTTCTTTGTGTTGTTTTTCTTTTTGTTAGCAGGATTTTAGTTTTCTTTTTCAAAAGAGGATGTATCTTTATAAATATGCTAATGTTCAACGTGACATTGAGATTTAAAATATGATATTTGTAGTTACATAGGCAGTGTTTGACATAGACATTAACTTTAGAAAATTATTTTAATTGATGAATGTAAAACTCTGAAATGATTGAAAACTGAAAATGTGCAGCAGCAAAATAAAATGTATGTCAACCAACCACATAAATCAGAGCACTGTCATTATATTTCACTAGTGTATATCATTTGGAAAAATAAGTTACTACAAGGGATAATTTATACAGCCCTTTTTACCGTATAATCTCAATGGAATTTGTTTGCTTCCAGCATTAGTACGAGGAACACTGATGTTATTTTGACCATGTTCATAATGGCAAAACCATTTTTTTGTACCAGCTTTGTTTTAGTGCATAATACTGGCAACTCAGGATCATCCTGGATAGATGCAGGAATACATTTCAAGACTAGACACCTTCAGTTCCAAATGATGAGCTCATCCCAGAATTTTCTTAAAAAGTCTGTTGATTCCGATGTGAGAAAAGTTAGCCAAAGTGAAGTTATTCTCACAGGAAAACTGTTACATTTTCAAGAGGATGTTAGATTCTGGAGATTATTTCAATGAACAAGTTCTACGTAATCCTTTAGACCTTGTAATCCCATATTTTCCGAGCAGAACCTATTGCCCCCTGATGGCAGGTTTACTTCTGGCTCTCATTGTGTGCACAAGCAGAAGGGGAGGCAGAGCCCTCTGTCATTGGACTCCTTGATAAATGTTATTGCCAGGGCTGAGCTCCTCCCTTCAGTCAATGAGTTTGTGAAAAATAATTTTAAATTATAGGAGTAAAATTAGAATGAGACTGACTGAAAGAAATTCAGTATAATAGATCACTTTGTAATGCTTTTATCAACTGAAATATTTGAGAAATAGTCTACTTTAGTTTCTAATGGATTTTTTTAATGAACTAAAACAAGCTTTTCAATGCTTTGTATCTGGTAGTATTGTGTAAAAACATTTTTTCTGGACTTTCTTAGGGACTTAGGAAAAAATAGTTTTGAGTTACTTTTCCCCCCTCTTTGGACTGATTTGATGAACTTAACATGAAATTATCACTTCCAGCATAAATGTGAATATATCCCTGTCAATAATCCATTCTAGAGCTACCATAATAATTTTTCAGGGAATTTGGGTATAGTGTTTAAGTGTACGGATTGATACCTTATAGTCTAGTCATAGGTTTACACCGACATGTTTTTTGTTCAGGGCTGAGTGGGTGTTGCTGTAGCTGTTTATCCACTAGAGGTCTCTGTCTGCCTGGAGCCGGGGCTGCAGCCTGGCCTCTCATTAATCCCAGTCTGTCACCACCATCACCGCCCCCCCCCCCTCCTGCCACGCCACGGCCCCGGCATCGCAGCGCTCCCCCGGCTGTGGCATCACCGGGCTGGGAGGGGCTCCGGCTCCTGCTATTGGCTGTCACTGTAATACGGACGGCTTTACGGGAGGATGTGTGTGTGAGCGGTGGGGACTTCATCTGCGCAAATCGTTTGACTCTCAACATGATTTTGAGACGACTTTAGCTTTTTTTTTTTCATTTTTTGGTTATCCTATTTTCAGCTCACGGCCATAGAATCCTGCATCGTTCCGATCGAATAGGGATGCAGCCAAATCGAGGCGGATTTATTGTCCGGACGCCGCGAGAGGAGGAGAGGAGCATGTAACCCGGACAAACGCACCGGCGGCTCCACCTGACGCCTCTTTCCCCCCCTCCTCACAATAATCACCACATTCTAAGGCAGCTAGATGTGTTGACTGGATTTCTGCTCTTTTTGTGTGGATATCATCTTCAGCAAAATGAGCGAGGAAGTGTCAGAGGTCCCTAAAGAGCTCCTGGGTAAGAGCCAAACGCAGGCTGGTGGCCATGCGTCCCGGCTGGAACAATCAGGGACTGCTGCCTCCACACTTACTGAGCGATTGCTCCTGCTGGTGACAAGTTCCTGAGTGGCAATGCGTATTCATGTGATTTACTCTCGTATGTCAGCCAGTTACTGCTCAGAGACACATTTGTAGCGTTGTTTTCCTACTGGACCCCGTCGGAGCACTTGTTATTGTGATAGTCATCACCTCCTTTGTCGTGAACGGTTTTCCAAATACATTTCCTTATAATAAACAATAGCTGTAGCCTGTAGTTTATACGCACTTTAGATCATGAGCCAGTTTCCACACTGAGGACTCCCATAAGGTGCACCTTCTCTTAATGTGATGTGGACCACAGCCTAAATTAGGAAAAGAAACCACATGGTTTAGATGTGAGTGGTCAAACTGTCAGCACCGGACACATCACTCAGGGGATTATTTTCCACACAGAAACCTCCACTCCACCCACCTCCAGGAGTCCAAGCACAGTGTTGTCCGTGTGTCTTGCTTCCCTGCTCCTGTTTGTACTGATGGTGGACAAACCTTCCAGTCTTGCCTCTGTGGGCTCCAGTGCAGGGCTTCTTTGTTTGGGGGGAAAGTAATTCCGCGTCTGGCACCTCGGTGTAATGTTGGATAAGCCCAAACTCTTTCTCCTTGGGCTGTTCTCACAAGAAAATGTTATTTTACAAGATTTGTCGGATGTTGACAGTACAGAATGCCAAAATGAGAGATGTATAGTACCGTAAATGGCAATTTAAAGTGACATCCAACAATATTTCAGCTGGCCACTTTTGTGGAATTAGGGGTTGCTATCCTTGCACATTAACACTGACATTGTTTGGTTATTTATTGTGTTATGTGCCATGTTGGACGTCACTATTAAAGTTCTGCTGAGATGACACTTTCAGTTTGAGCACAGGCAGAAGAAAAGCTCCTGATCTATTTGTTTTATAAGTCTTCATCTTGCTTATTGGCAAGTGGATGCACCCTATTAATGCCCCTGAGAACACAGGCCAGAGGGTCCACAGCAGAAAAATGTACTTTAACGCTTTAATGGGAGATCATATTGTATTCTTCTTATCTCTATGTGTAGAGCGTGAAAGATGCAATTGAGAGGAAGGTAATGTTGTTGGAGTTTAGCTGGAGTATGAAAATAAATCCCTTTGGTGTTTGATGTGAAATTTGAGCATGTCAGTACTACAGTGGAGAATGCTTTTATGTCGAACCCAAGATAGTTTGTACAAGGTTATGAAAAGTGGGTTATCCATTAATATATATATATAGTATTTGAGTATAAAACTACATTGGGATCTCAGACTTTAAGTTTAAAAAAAAAAGTGTTTTCACCTTTCCACAGAAAGTTTCGTTCGGGGTTATTGATTAATTCACTCACGTGTGTACTTTGCCTGAATAGTGTCTTCTGTCATGATACAATGTCATGAGGTGTTGTTTGGAGGACTATTGCCGCCATTGCTAAAAACACTCACTGGTGCCCATGATTCAACATCTTGCAATGTCATTCTTGGCATCCACTATATGTGAGTTAAGGGGAAAAACAGTCTTCTCTATGCTGATGTTTTAAGATGGACCTTTCCTTTTAATGGAAAAGCAGATAAACCAGCAAAAAACATTTTTACTATTCTGTAGTCAAAACATACATGCAAAGATAAGAAAACATTATTTGTGCTTTTTCATTTTGATTTCAAAGGCACAAAGCAGGTTGGGATTTCCCATTTTATCGAACCAGAGAAAACAAAGACACTGAATTGTTGATGGCTAAAAAAAAGACACATCAGTCTTCATTAGAACTCTCAACAGGGTTACAATCTAACATCACAAAGCGATAGATCTGAACTGGCCATAGGTTAGTTTGTGGGTTTGTCCGTTGTTTGAGCTTTTTACAGGTCCATTGATCTCTCTTTTAGCCCACCTTCCACAAGAATTCCCACTGACATTCAAGCTTGTGTGACCAAGCACACGTGCCCTAACTGTCATATGCATGACAGCTGGCCAGTAAGAACAGCCTTCTGTCACCGTTTGAATGAATTAGCAGAAAAAATACATGACAGTCTGCTTGGAGATTTTCTCTAAAGACAGATCAAAGATTTCCTGTGGTCATGAAAACAGACACGGCCACATTTTTGTGCAGAAGCTCGATGACTCAATAGAACTTTGTGCTATTCTAGTGAAAAAAAAAATGCTGTAGCAAATAGACGGAAGGAAATAATGTTGCATATTTTCAGTGGCATTGATGTGGAAGCTCCAGGCAGGCCGATAAGGCATCACACACACTACCTAATTATTAGTTTTAGTGGGATCTGATGATGGTGTATGGGAGCCTGTAGGCGGGATACGTGCATGCCAGCACAGATGTACGCTCTCTGAATCCCTGCCTGTGTCAGTCACATGTGTACAGACTGTTGTTAGTCAGCTGCTGTGTGAGTGTGTGTATGTGAGAGAGGGTTGAATGAGCAGCATGATGAGGTAGCTGACCCAGTTCTGCTCTTAAATCCAGTTTTCTGGCTACTGATTCTCCTAGTGGGTGTGTAGAATCTGAACAGAGGACCACACACTCAGTAGAAGGTTGTGTATACTTTAATGTTTACCATGAGCTCAGTATTTCTACTAATAATGCACGTGTTCATTATTCCTTGTCCTTTCATATATGTCTATTCCGAAAAGAAACCAGACATTATGCCAAAAGGACACATTTAAGTCTTTTCTCTGTGTTTGTGTCAGAATTACATGTTAAATGAAAAATGTAGATAAAATGAGAGAAAACCACATTAAAAATGATTTCCTTCTATCAAAAACAGTTTTAATCTACTTTTTTGTAATTAGCAGAAAAAGTCAGTTATTTTCGCCCTGAGGCCAGAGCTCACTGATCTGTCAGGTGCACTGGACATTTCAAAATGATCTTTTGCTTCACTGTGCTTGTACTGTGTGATACTATTTTCTCGCTTCAGTGATACGTTAACAGTGATACTCTCTTCTCTCCTTTTTTGTAGAGAGTGTAAGAGATGCAGTGGGGAGGAAGGTAAAGTTATCTCTGAGGAAAAGAGTCAAACTGGAGATCAAAGGAGACAAGACAGAAAACAGAGTCTTGGTGAGTCATTGACTGCTCTCAAGCAGCTTCTTCATTTAAGTTCATAAAAACCTTTCTATATGCCCCCAGTTTACCTTTTTCTTGATGTATGTTCACTATTGCTCTTTTGATTTTTTTCTAAGATACTTTGAGTGAGTACTATTATTTAGGAAAACTTCCGTAAAACTTATCACCAACA